AAAAAATATAGGATTTAGTTCTTTAGTTGTTGTTTGATGGGAGTCAAATTTTATATCAATTGCACTTAAATATTAGAGATTGAGGGATAAAATTTTTAGAACTGAAGGCCGGTTTTTTTTATTTTTAATCTTTTTTCGTTATATTTAGATATCTATTCACGGAAACATGATATCAAGCAAAACATAATTGATATTGTATGTTTTATTTTATCTATGTACATTTTTATTTATCACAATTAATAAAAATAAAAAAATTTATGGATATAAATAACAGAACAAGTGGTTCGAGTGAAAGCTAATTTATAGGAGAAATTATACTTCTTTGCACAACCCAACAAAGAAAAAGAGCATACGGCCAAAAAATCAAAATCAACGGGTCATAATTCTTAAACTAGAATTTCTGACGTTTTCTTTGTTGGCCATCAAAATCTCCCAGGTTCGAGAGCCCCTAACTGACCATCGGTTAATAGTTCAAAGACTTGCTACTTGCACAGCTTCATTTTTGTTCTAAGAAAGATATTTTTCTTGAATCAAATCTCTCCAAGTGAAATTTTCATGAATGGTATTTTTAATTTTATTAAACCTATTTCCTTTCCATGGAAAATGGAACATAGAACAATCTAAAAGTATATTTAATGTGAAAGAAATAAAAAATATAAATAAAGGAATTAAAGTAGAAAATAAAAGCCTCAACTCCTTATTTAATTTTTTATTAATTAAATAAAAAATTATTGCTTTTTCTTTTCTTTTTTTTTTAAATTAAATATACTGTAATTTAATTAATTTTTAGAGCATATTTAGATTAAGATAAATAAAAAAAGGACAAGGGACAAGAAAATTAAGATATTAATATTGAAGCGATTTGGTAAGAAAATAAAATAAAATAAAATAAATGAAGCTTCTCCAATCCCTTCCCATAATTTTTTTAGCAACCAAATAAAAGGGAATTTTCTAACCTCCCATTTCCTTTGAACCATCCATGTTCTAATGAATTGAATAAAGGGAAATTGCCCAAAAGAAAAACTATTTAAAAAATGAAATTCACAAAAAAAAAAGAAAAAGAAAAAAGAGAGAGCCTATCCTCGTAATTAGCCAGAGAAGTTCTTAAAAACCGAAGGTTAAATGCTTAATTTGGTTTCTCAACTTTAAGAAATGAACATTTTTGGTCCCTCAACAATTTTTTGCACTTTTTTGATCCCTCAACTATACGAAATGCACTCCGTTAATCCTTCCGTTAATTTGAGCCGTTAACCTTGCTTAGGTGGCATTTTTTATATTTTTTTTGATGATGTGAAGAGCAAAACTTAAAATAGTGATGACATACATAAAATTTTTGCCATGTCACATGCTACCTGACAAAAACGCACCAAATCCATTGAAATGGGTCCCACATCACCACTAACAATTGCTCTTTTGGCCATCGGTTACTGTTTCTATTCTTTCCGGTGTTTTTTCCATTTTCAAGATTGAAGTTCGAGAGGGTGTTCTTTCCATTTTCAAGATTGAAGTTCGACAAACCCAGCTCGATTCATTGAACTCAATTATCCAAAAAGCTCTCGCAACAACTTGCAATTTGGAAATCTCTTGGCAAACAAT